ACATTCTGTATTGAATGTGGGATTTTAGTGGACTTAAAAAAATATGAAGATCACGTAGAAACAACCGAGCACAAAATTGCTTTAGTTGACTTTTTTAAAGAAAGAATTGACTTCAATAATTATTGTGTGTTTTCGCCTCCATTTTGTTCAACCATTGTGGATTTTTTTATNCAATAATTATTGTGTGTTTTCGCCTCCATTTTGTTCAACCATAGTGGATTTTTTTAGTTTTATTAAAGAAGATTTTACTGTATTAGTAAACTATGTGATAAAAAAACACTCTTATGTCGAAGCTGATGTAAATATGTATGCATTGTATCATGACGAATGTTCTAGTTTAAACAATAATAAATATTTAGCTGAAGTTAAGTGGTTTGGAGTCAAAAATAAGGTAATAATATTATTACTATTTAAATGTCGATAAATGTAGTGTAAAAACTATTTTTATTAAATGAGTTAACATAAGGTTTTTTTTTTTAATTATACATTTTTCTAATAAATGATCAATTTACTTATTAAATAAAGATATTGAGCATATTTTTTCGTTTTGTGTATTATTTGAATATTCAGGGATCTTATTTTCCTGAGAGATGCAAAAATTATTGACAACTGTTTAAGCCATTGAGGTAATTTCTTCTACACATCCATAAATTATATATATCCCCCAAATTCATGCGATATCTTACTGGGATATACTAATTTTTTACTGAAANCGATATCTTACTGGAATGTACTAATTTTTTACTGAAAATGGTATTTTAGAAGAATTATGATCAAGAAAAAAGGTTATTAAAAAATTTGTGTGTGTTATAAATTCCTATTTGAATTTAAATGTTTGACCAGCTTCCCCCAAAATTTTATTGTATTATCGTTTAATACACCACTAATTATGGCCTAATATTTATCAATATACCTATTACATAATATCTGCCTTAATTCAACATCAATAACTTTACTATTAATGCTATTAACTATTTGAAATAAACAGACTATACATTTTATTTCCTTATCCATTGGCCGTACACAGNTACATTTTATTTCTTTATCCATTGGCCGTACAAAACCTATCTATCTCTCCCGAATAACACTTTTGGTTTTTAAAATTCTGTTGGTAACAGGAAACTAATTTACATGGACAAAAACTTAAAATCAAATCAAAAGATTTGGTAGCTAGGATTATATGTTTTATGTTAGTTTTATTGTTAATGACACAAGATATCTCAGGAAATGCTCTCCTGTCTCCTCTGGGTGTTCCTGAATATTTCCTTTTAATTATAATTTCATTGTAGTATAATCATAATAATTAATATAAGTTTTTTTAACTTGTCGTGTGTACAGGTATTAACAAAAGAAATTGACGTAGAATGGTTTTATCGGAAAATAACTANAATTGATGTAGAATGGTTTTATCGGAAAATAGCTAATTCTTTAATGTTTCAATGTGAAACATTTCAAATATCAGGTTGGTCTTTAGAAGAAATAATTTGGTTAGAAATTGTAGTAACCAAATCTTTAACCGAAAACGAACCATCTATAATTATCAATTGTCCTGTTAGCTACAATAAAAATTTCAATCAATCAATTCCAGGTAAAACTTTATTTTTCATAGAATTATGTGTTGGAAAGTATTTTTATTTTGCTTATATAACATACATACTAACATACGTATGTTAAGTATAGCGTATATTTGTAATATTTTTGTAAAAAACTTATTGAAATTTTGTTTAATAATGTTTCTACTAAGAACGTTTTATGTTTTTATATTCAAATGGTAACATGAGATGACATTATTACTTAATAACTGAAAGATAAACAATTTGTTTTCTGATGTGATATTCAAATTCTTTCTTACTATATTTGTAATAAGTGTTAATAAAGCAATAAAGAATTATTGGTCAGTTTCTACTTAATGAGTGTATGTATGAATGTTATATGGTATTTTATTTTTATATATTCGAGCGATTAAAGGAATGTAAAATTTATTTTAATTTGATAAAAAATTTCCTGAATTAATTTTTAAAATATTGTGAAAAGACGATTATTTTTTAGAAGTTCCTAAAATGCGTTTGGTGCGATGTCGTCCTTGTGGAGTTTATATTATTCGGGATAATTACAGCGAGCACATAAACACAGTCGTGCATAAAAATTCGGCTTCTAAGTACATCAGTGATTGGGTAGTGATTATAGATGGCCCTTCTGGAAATCGCATAAAAGGCTATAGAATATTATCAAGAACTCAGTGTGTATCACTGTCCGAGTTTTTTAGTTCAGTTGAATCAGATGTACTAGGTATTGTTGATCAAACCTTGTTGGAGTATTCAGCTGTCAATATGAGCGTACAATTATTTAGTCATTACAATGACAGCAATATTATTTCTAAACAAAGTGAAAAAGGAAATATACTACAGTCCAATGGTTTCATGGGTAAAGTCAAGTCTTTTATGATGTCAAACGAGGTATTTAAAAATCCATTAAAATTATGTTTCATTAGTTTTTTTTATAAAAAATTACATTATTTGCAAAGGCGTGCCCAGTGATTAGGTAAGACAGGCCCTGGCTTAACCTGTTTTCACAGGCAACTTTAGGCACGGTACTCGTAAAATGTTTATTTTCAATTAATGTCCAAATAAAAACGAACCTAGAGACGGATACGCGAAATAATAATAAATATTATTATTTTTTTATTATATTTTTATATTTTTATATTTTTTAATTATATATTTAATTCTTAACACGTTTTTTTGATCACTTTTTTTTTCTCACCAGAAATTTTTTCTTTGTATAGCCAATTATAATAACCAGACTGCCCTTAATTTTCATTATGGTCACATCTCTAATTATTTACAATACATGGTATATTTTATAATACAGTTTTATAAAGGTACATATATTAGTGAAAATATTGAAATAATAAAATATCTGGTTTTGTGAAAATTTAATATTGTATCAGTTTATCCTGTCTATGACGATGACTAGAATATTATACCAACTTTTGAAAAAAAAAATCGAAAACTATATGCCGTTGTATGCCATCCACTGTACCCAGGAGTTTATTCACATATTTTTCGTCTATAGGCATTTAAACATATGTCGCCCTTCATTACGTTATGACGGAGGGGGCTCATTTTTATATATTTTTGCTATAACACTACTAATTCTTCCTACAAAAAAGAAAAAAGTATTTAAAAATATTTACAATAAAATCTATGTTTATTATTAAATCATAAGATGAATTGCTTGTAGCGACTAATATACATATCTTAAATACACAATAAATGAAAACGATTTTGATAATCATTAGGAAGTCAATTTGTCATAACAACTATAAAAAAAAAAAACTCGCTTTTTATAAATTTGTTGGGATTCAATATTTGCCGCCCCTTAAAATATGCCGCTGTAGGCAGTTGCCTGTATTGCCTTTACATAAATACGCCGCTGTCTGCACCACTGAATAAGTTTCATAAAAACTGCTATTAGTATATAATTAAATCGAAGTTTGTGTAATATTTTTTCTATAATGGAACATACAATATCAGAATATTAAAAATTATAAACTTCAATTCATACATTTATATCTGTACTTATCAACGAATTTTAATATTTAAAATTAAATTTAAAAAATACTCCAATTCGACGATCATTTGCAGATACTTACTCGAACATCAAGTTTGCTGAACTGGTATCAAAGTATGTCCGAAAATCTTAAATCACATAATGAAGAAATGTTATCCAGTGAAACCACGTGGACCTTAGACAGGATTATGTTTTTTGAAATTTATTTTTATAAAAATAGTATAGATTCATAAAGTACTATTTAATTTTTATATATTAATTTTATGATATTTCAATAGTTTTTAAATTAAGTGATATTTTCAATATTTATTTATTTATATATTTTTTTAATATAAATTGAAGAAAAATGATGTTAATTATTAAATAATATATTAACTGTATATTACCTCAAGAAAGTAATATACAATTAAATTGTATATGGTAATTGATACTTTGTAAACAAGGCTACACTTATACATAATAATATATCAATTTAACAATAAATTTTGTAAAAAAAAAAAAATATACCGAATAATATAACATATATTTTAATTTTAATGGTATTAACTTACAATGGAATGAAAAAAAATAGATAGTTCATTAATTATAATAAAAATATTATACAATAGTAAATTTTAAATGAGAGTATATAGTTTAGATAAGTATAATTTTAAAATTATACAAAAAATGTAATAGTATTATGGAAATCAAAAAAAAAAAAATTTCTAGAGTTGTATAGTTTCAACTATGTATGTCTTAAATTTGAAAAATAAGATTTTTTTCATTATGAAATGTTAATACTTTCTATTAGTTCACTTCTAGTACAGTTTTGTAAAAAAAAAAAACAAAATTAATTTATGTGATTGTATCCCTGATTTTCCGTTTATAAATATTGTTATATATTAATTTTATGATATTTCAATAGTTTTTGAACTAAGTGATATTTTCAATATTTATTTATTTATATATTTTTTTTAATATAAATTGAAATCAAACAAAATATATTACATAATGTCGACCTAATAGAAAATAATTATGTTGTCTTATTATTAATTCGAAGTCTTATGATTTTAACAAAAAAATTGTTTAAAATAGAGTATACATTTTAGTTTAAAATAAGCTATACGATTTTACATAGTTATTTATTTAGTTATCAATTTAAATTATTTTAAATTAAACTTCATTGATACTATGATATCTACATATTATTGTTAAATTAATTTTTAATGATAAATTGTTAAGTTGTGATATAAATTTATTTATTTAATTTGTTACCTAATAGTATTTTTAAAATAAAGACGAATTCATGATAAGTGTATTTATTTGTTGAGGCTTAAAAAAATGAAAAATACCTTGTGTATTAGAGTATTATTGTGATGCAAATGGTTATTTGGTTGAATATCTCGAAAATATTGCTTCATTATTTAAGAAAAATGATGTTCATTATTAAATAATATTACTTTTCCTAAATAATTACGATTAAATTAGGTAAAACTAATATTTAATAACAAGTATATTATTTTCCTTGAAACGCTTGGTTAGGATCAGGGCTGGTGTATGGGTCCCACCTAGGGCGATACCTTGATATGAGCCCTATCTTTAAATTTGAAACATATTATATTAAATAATTGGAAGTTAATAATTTGAATGAAATTAAAGATATGTAATTTGCATCACCGAAGTTAGTGAAATATGTGAAACGTAATTTGTTACTCCAAATTTAAAATCGATTATTCTTTTCATAGTTTAATAGTTCAATTATTTTTTTGTAGTACGACATCCAGGCGCGGACTGGGATCAATTTTCTTATCGGGAAACCAAGTTAAAGGGGCCCATAAGCACTTTCCACGGCCGAATAATGTACAAGAGCTTCGACGTTTTTTGGCAATGTGCAATTTTTACCGCCGTTGTATTCCAAACGCAGCAAGTACACAAGCTATTCTTCACGATTATCTTAAAAACAGCAAAAAAAACGACAAAACACCAATTGTATGGACCGATCAATCAACGGGAGCGTTCGAGAAAACTAAAGAAGACTTAAAGCGAGCCACAACATTATCATATCTAGATCCGGCCGCGAATATTCAATTACGATGTGACGCGTCAGATATGGCGATAGGCGCAGTAATAGAACAATTTAAAAACGGCGTTTGGCAACCNGTTGTGACGCATCAGATATGGCTATAGGCGCAGTAATAGAACAATTTAAAAACGGCGTTTGGCAACCACTTGCTTTTTTCTCTCGCAAACTTGACCAAACACAAAAAAAATACTGTGCATACGATCGTGAACTTCTTGCGGTATATGAAGCCATTAAGCATTTTCGCTATATGCTGGAAGCCCGTGAATTTGAAATAATTACGGACCATAAGCCGTTAGTATACGCATTCANATGGACCATAAGCCGTTAGTATACGCATTCACACAACACTCAGATAAATTACAACCTCGACGTGCACGACAACTTGATTTTATTAGTCAGTTTACAACATCAATACGGCACGTAACAGGTACACAGAATACAGTGGCCGATGCGTTATCGAGAATAGAAACTATAAATGCACCGCCACCGCTAGATTATGACAAGTTAGCTTACGACCA